GCGAGAGATGTGGTGCCAATGAGCTTGTATCTTTGGGGAAGATTCTTCCAAGGTGGCCAGGTCCCGGACAAGTTCTCATGCTGCTTCTCCACCTCTTCCTCTTGAAGCTCCGTGAGAGCTTTGGCCTTGGCCACTTCTTTGGCATTTTGTTGAGCGTTAGAAACTATTCGGAGCCTTAAGGAGTAGTTGGAAGGTGGTGAGAGGTGGAAGTGAAAACGTGGAAACGATGTCGTTCTGATAAAAGGGGTATGTGAGCATGCTCTGCGAGTATGTGAAATGAAGCAGGAATTGTCTGGCCTCAGCGTGAGCTTGGCCATGCTGGTTAAAATAGCCTATTGAAGTTGCAGAAAACAAACGAAACGAAAGGGGAAAAAAAGATAAAGAAAGAAAATTTGGGTGTGTTAGGGAGTGTCATTACATAACAAAACATGAGGCGTATGGGTAATATTAACGTTGATGCTATAAGAGGTGGCCACGAAGTGGTGGTGCTTGTGGCTCACATCAAAATGAAGATTTTGGAATGCACAAGGCACAGTCGTGGTCATAGTCTTATTCATAGTCTATGACATGTTTATGTTTTTTGGTTCAAAACGTTGTAATGTATGTAATGTTTTTGGTCAGGATATGTTATCTTGTGGGAAAACATGGGCCGGGCCATCATGTTGTGTAGTTACATATCAAGAGAGTGCAAAGAGCAATCTTCTCGTACCATGTCATCAAGTCGAACGCTGCTTTCACATCCGAAATGTGTTTATCTTAGTGAAGTGAACCGAGTTACCGCAAAAATCAAGTAAATAAATAACACAAATAAAATTGGAATTTAAACTTTTTAATTTCAAATGATTTAAGTACTAAAAAAATCAACAATTTCAATTTTTAAAACGACATGAACGCATATTTTTATATAAAAGATTCTAAATATTTTGTTAAAAATTATCGGATGCAAATTTTTCGGCTATATAGACGACACGTGTTCATTATTAAAACAGTTTAACTACGAAAAACAAAGTTACAGCTCATGTTCTTGTCAGAGCCATTGGACTTAACTGCAGATTTTGTTGCGTATTACACTAAACAAATCAGTTTGTAGCTTTCAGACATAAACAAATAATCGAAAGTCGGTCTCCCAAAGAAAGCCATCCATTGCTGGATCACCAACTGAGAAAGACATCGCTGACAATCTACTCGTTTCGGAGAAATCGATGGCCAAGAGCGTTCAACAAATGTCCATGGGAGGTGATGAACCACCAACGCAATATATTGTTAAAGGAAATAGCTTTGTATCTAAAGATTCTTCCGCACTCATTCCAATACCCATCATTGATCTAAGTCTCCTCTCATCAGAAGGTGAGCTACAGAAGCTCAGATCTGCTCTAACTTCAGCTGGATGCTTCCAGGTGTGGATCTACAAAAGCTTCCAAAAACTTCATCTTCACTGCTACTTGCATGCGTTTCAAAGCACCATCAGTCATATATTGCATTTTGTACTCTCTGATTCCCTTTGAAGAGTTATTAAGATGAAAAAAGCGATAAATTTTATTAACTGGCGGCTAAAAACGGACCCTTCCAATGTCTCAGATTAATTTTGTGTTTTAAGGTCATGTTAGTGCATTGCTAAATATCAACACTGCTGATTGACTCTTCTTTAAACCAAAGGGCCTCTGTGTGGATATTTAGCATATCTAAGGTCATATATTACGTGCCATATATGCAAGTTAATTTCAATGTGTCAAGGATATAAATGCTTTCATCTTTGTAATAATAGTGAGCATATCTGACATGCAGGCAATTGGTCATGGAATGTCAAGTTCATACCTTGACAAAATTCGTGAACTTGCAAAACAATTTTTTGCACTCCCAGAAGAGGAAAAGCAGAAGTATGCTCGAGCTGTTAATGAATCTGAAGGGTATGGGAATGATAGAGTAGTTTCGGACAAGCAGGTTCTTGACTGGTCCTATCGCCTATCACTTCGAATTTTTCCAGAAAAAAAACGAAGACTTTCTCTTTGGCCCAAAATTCCTTCTGATTTTAGGTACTGCCCTTCAACCAGTTCAGTTTGTCCTAAAACATAGCAACTCGTATTATATTATTCTAAACTTATCTGTTAGAAAGAAGATTTCTTGAGGATACATTATCTACCTGAGAAATTTCTGTCACATACTGAAGTAGAGTAATTACTGGGCTCAATTTTCTTAACATAATGCAGTGAGAAATTAGAGGAGTTTTCGGCGAAAGTGAAATCAATGATGGATTATCTCTTGAGATCCATGGCAAGGTCACTGAATTTGGAAGAGGGTAGCTTCCTGGACCAGTTTGGTGAAGAATCATTGATGCTGGCGAGGTTCAACTTCTATCCACGATGTTCTAGGCCTGATCTGGTCCTTGGCGTCAAACCTCACACAGATCGATCAGGAATCACAGTTCTATTGCAAGACAAAGAAGTGGAAGGTCTTCAAGTTCTGATAGATGACAATTGGGTCAGTGTTCCCACAATGCCCGATGCCTTTGTTGTCAATCTGGGCGATCAAATGCAGGTAAACTGGGTTCTATTCATCTCAAGAAATCGTTGTTCTACTTGTTGATGAGTAATAAAAATTCTCCAAGCTTAATGATTCTATTTTTGTAGTGGTGCGTCATTAACTAGTTTTTGAGGTGGAATCAGTGTTAGTTAATGAATGGTTAATGAAGTTTGGCACTGTTGCAGATCATGAGTAATGGAATATTCAAGAGCATAATGCACAGGGTTGTGACAAACACAGAAAATATGAGGATGTCTTTGGCAATGTTCAATGAGCCAGATCCTGAGAAGGAGATTGGACCTGTAGAGGGTCTTATAGATGAGTCGCGGCCTAGGTTATACAGAAACGTTAAATGCTATGGTGACATCAACTACCAGTGCTATCAAAAGGGAAAGATTGCACTTGAGACTGTCAAAATTGAATGACTAGAGGTGTTGAGATTTTCCAACAGCTTGGAAAAGTCTTTGATGTTTTTTGTAATTTAAATCAAACTATAAAAGAAAAATATGTATGGTTCAGTTGCTTTGAAACCTTAACTGGTAATATTGCCTCGTGTGAAATGTTAGCAAGTTAATGCGTTTTATAGCAATTCTTGAAAATGGTAGCAGAAACAGCTAGGTTATATCCATAAGAAACAATTCGTGTCTAAGACAAGATCACAATATGGAAACATCTACAAAGTGGAAACTTAATTATCAGAAAAATGGAAAGATGGATGAACCCTAATCACACAACATATAAAAACAATTTTCAAATGCATAATTCGCACATAGAATCCTAAATTGGTTGCAATATGAATGGCACTAGGCTATCACAAACCGGTTTGCAGCAAGAGAGTAGCAGATCTTTAATCAAGTAAACAATTCATTGTAGCTCACAAGTGTTATATGAAAGCATGCAGCATTCAACTTAGACAAATGAGCAGAAAATCGTGTTCTGTTTCTTGGAGTTTCAAGAATTTAATGAATTGGCAAGAAAGAAACTGTATAGCGTCGGTGAAGGCAACAAGATTAATAGGAGAGGTTCGACCAAAAAAATTGATCTAAACTTACACTCTTTTATCCCAACGAGTAATGAGGTTCTTTTTAACCAAATAACAGAAAAAGGTCATACCTGAAATAAGGACTCAATATCACGTGTTTTTTCATAATTACATGTAAAGCTTTGAAAGAACCCGACTTCTCTTGCTTGCAATCAACCAATCAGTGATTCACACTGTTCTAATTATAATAAATACTGATAATGAAAATATTTGGTAATAAATAACATCATAAATGTGCTAAAATTGGAAAAGAATTGAGTAGGAAATGAAGCACCAACGTCATAAAGATAACTAATTAATTTTCCCTTATTTTTTGGTTAAATTTCTATAAATGATCTCATTTTCAAGTAGTTTTAAATTTCAGAAAGTAAAAAATACGTAGTAATATTCTTTCTAAAATTTAAAATGAAAATCAACGTAAACTACACTATTAAGGTAGGAATAAGTTTGTTAATATTCTTAAATTTAAAATCAACTTCTTTCAAAAGTTCCTATATTACAATTTTACATTCATAGTGTTTTCACGTGTATATTTTGTAGAATATCCATTTTCCATTTTGATACCGTAATAAATTAAATACAACCTTGAGTAGAATTTTAAGTTATATTCTTTTTAAATATCTATTTTTTTTATATTTTCCATTTTGATACTACCATAATATTTTAATAACTTTTTGACGAAAAGATTATGTATTACTGTTGGTTTATATATTTGAAACAACATATTTTAATAATTTTTTGGCAAAGAAATTATGTGTTATTATTTTATTGGTTTGTGTATTTGAAACAGGCGAATCACAAACTATCACATAAATTATTATAAATTATCAAAAAAAATTATTAAAAAACATTTTTCATAATAAAATAATTACAAAATAAGTACAACCTGAATAAAATTTTAAGTTTAATGAGTTTTTGGACTTTGAAGTTCAAGCCAATACAGTACAATTCAACCCTCAATTTTTATGGATATAATTATTTTAAAATTAAATATATTTTTATTCCTAAACTTTACCATTAAAATACAATATATTTTCTCAAATCTTAAAAATAAATTAATAAAATTACGTTAAATAAAATTTAATTACGTTAAACAAAATTTGACATACATTTATATTACTACTTGAACTATTTACATTTGACACATTAACGTCTGATACGTAAAATTTTAACATGATTAAATTAAAAAAAATCATTTTCTCTTATTTTTAAAATTTAATCTAAAATATCAAAATTTAAAGACGAGCTGAAATTGAAAGATTAAAAACATATATTTAATTCACGTTTTTTTATTAATCCATTATTCCGTTTTAATTGAATTAGTTCAATTTCAAGAAATCTCTTAAAACCAGAACACAAAAAATGAAGTATCTACAAGAATCGACCAACGACATCTGAGAAATGGTTCGCGCGGAAAATAGTATAATCATCGTCATCATCATGAAACTCCACGTAACAAGGAAAATTTTGCTGCAGACTCCCTAATGAAGTTTCTTAAAACTACAAATGAGTGACAAAATATACTGTTTCAAAAACAATGAAGTCGACATGACAGATGAGTTAAAAGACTAACAAAAAAGTAAAGGCATGGTGGTAAAAGGACGGATTTTCCTTGTTCTGCCATCATAGTAGAAAATTGATGAACGATGCTCTTTTCTCTCAACTCTTTAGAAGATCTTGAAGAGTAAACCACCATGGGTAGCAAAGAAGGGGGCAAAAACAAGAGACTCAACTGCCATCAGCTTGATAAGGATGTTAAGTGAGGGACCAGATGTATCCTTGAGAGGGTCTCCAATGGTGTCACCAATAACTGCTGCCTTGTGGCAATCTGACCCTTTTGGACCAAGGCTTCTGGCATGCTCAGAAGCACCAGCCTGTAAAATTACACCAATTATATACATCATCAAATGCATATTAAAGATTTATCACACAATTCCAAGCTATAGCTGTTATACGGTCAAATTTATTGAATTTCATAATAATTACCCTTAATAGTCATACCAAGTGATTCCTATTAGGATGATTAGTTTCAAAAACTCCGATAACCAGTTAGGACTCCATTATAATACCGGGGTGAATCAATTAATTACACGGCTCAAAGTAGTCAACAAATCATTACCTCAATGTACTTCTTTGCATTATCCCATGCACCGCCGGTGTTGGATGCAGAGATGGCAATCTGTAAGCATGGCATGGAAATACGTCTTAGATGCAAAGAATATGTGGGAGGATGACAGACAACAAGGTTTTTGAGTAAACTACAGAATAAGGAGAGGTGGATGAAACATTACCTGTACACCAGATACCAAAGATCCAGCAAGGACACCAGAAAGTGTTTCGACACCAAAAAGGATCCCAACAACAAGAGGTGTAAGCATGACAAGAGCACCAGGTGGAATCATTTCTTTAATGGAAGCATCAGTAGAGATCTTAACACACGTAGCATAGTCAGGCTTGGCAGTTCCCTCCATCAACCCTGGGATGGTATTGAATTGCCTGCGCACTTCCTCAACCATCTTCAGAGCAGCACTTCCCACACTCTTCATGGTCATGGCAGAAAACCAGTAAGGAAGCATTGCCCCCACAATTAAACCAATGAAAACCTTTGGAGTCAACACGTCAACAGTCGTAATAGATGCTCGGCTCACAAAGGCACCAAAAAGGGCCAGAGATACAAGGGCGGCAGAACCAATGGCAAAGCCCTAAAACAGAATAATATAGATATCAGATAAGTAGCAAGAAAACAGATGTTTGCGTTAACTTACAGAATGGGTTTGAAGAAGGCAAAATAAATCAAAATCCACACCTTCCCAATTGCAGCTGTAGTGTTACCAGCAGCATCAAGAGCATCAGTTCTCTCACGAATTCTGTGACTCATGCCAGCCATCTCAGCAATACCTCCAGCATTGTCACTGATTGGACCATATGCGTCTATGGCCAACCCAGTGGCAATGGTACTCAGCATCCCAAGTGCAGCAACGGCAATACCATACATGGCAGCAAAGGTGAAACTAACAAAAATACTAATTGCTATAGCAAAAATTGGAATGATAACAGACTTGTATCCTAAGGCAAGGCCAAATATAACATTAGTTGCAGCACCAGTTCTGCAGGAGTCAGCAACGTCTTGAACAGGACTGCAAAACCAGACACATAGTCAAGCTAAAGCCTGATGATATGATTACACAAAGGTAAAAAAATGGTAAAACATTACGCTAAAATTACTTACCTATATGCGTTACTAGTATAGTACTCAGTTACAAATCCGATAATAAGTCCTGCCCAAAGACCAACAGCAACACACAAAAATAGCTGCCTGCAATACAAAATACAAATATCATTCGAGTTCATAGATATAAAAAGCAACAATGTATTAATGTATAAATATACAATAACCCATCATTAAATAATTTTCACCAGAAACTTGGTTACTTATACTGACCAGCTCTTGACGTCTTTCTGCACACCAAAATTGAAGATAGTGAAGGAAGTTGGAAGTGCAACAAAACTAACAACTGCAACCCCAATAGTCATCAGCACAGTGGAAATAACAAGCTGTTTTTTCAATGCAGGCTCAATCTCCTTCACAGCCTTGATCTCAAAGAAGTCAGTTGCAAATAAGGTGGTGAGCAAACAAACAAGGATACCCACAGAACTGACAATGAGAGGGTAGAGCATTGCAGTAAACTCATGATTCAACCCAAATGAGGAGATGGAAGCAACAACAAGTGCAGCACAAGATGACTCCGCATATGAACCAAACAGATCAGATCCCATACCAGCTATATCTCCGACATTGTCACCAACATTGTCAGCAATCACCTGAGTGCACAACAATTCATTCAGACAAATAAAAAGTATTAACACGACAATATTTGAAAACCAAAAATAATGAAGTGATTATTTCTTACAGCTGGATTTCTTGGATCATCTTCGGGAATGTTTCTCTCAACCTTGCCAACGAGATCAGCACCAACATCAGCAGCCTTGGTATAAATACCTCCACCAACTCTTCCAAACAAAGCCATAGAAGACCCACCGAGACCATAACCAGTTATGGCCTCAAAAAGACCACCCCAGTCATCACCATAATAGATCTTAAACAAGTTGATGGCAATGTAAAGAACTAGAAGACCATTTGCGGCTAGGAGAAAACCCATAACAGCACCAGATCTAAAAGCCGTAATGAAGGCCTTCCCAACACCCTTTCTTGCCTCCAAGGTGGTTCTTGCATTGGCGTAAGTTGCAATTTTCATTCCAAGGAATCCAGAAACAAGTGATGTGACGCCACCAAGCAGGAAAGATATGGTGCTGAAAATAGCCGTTGCCAGTGCTGGCTTACACGTTTTAGTTTTATCGTATGTGCAAGCCTGGGGGCTTGTGCTGAATCCCTCCACTGAACCAAGGAAGAGGAATATCAAAATGGCAAAAGCCACCATGAAGATTCCTACATACTTGTATTCAGTAAAAAGGAAAGAGGTTGCTCCTGTTCAAGTTCAAACACAGGTAAATAAGTAAAGCATTCTTTAGCATCCACCGATAAGCACTAATTTGGAATAACGATCAGCAATCGAGAGCATATCCAAAAATTTAAAGAACAAATAAAATGCAAAAAGTCCTGCCATGCAATGGTTTCAGAAAAAACCAACTCTGCTCGTATATTAAGTATAACAGGTCAAAAAAAAGATCACAGGGTTTTGGGAGAAAAATTATCTACTACAATAACACGGCTTAAATTTAAGAAGCGATATAGAGCTTGTTAAAGTTTAAAACATTGCAACTATGTATGGAATGAGGAGAACCGTTGTAAACGCACTCTACTAGAAAGAAAGACCTGGGGGCTACAAATTAATTAAAGTAAAACTTTCATATGCGAGTATTCAAAAGATCCAAATACGGATAAATGAGATGACAAGGGTTCATAGAGCATCAAGTTTAAAGCCGCAGACAAAAAATTAAGTAACACAAATACTACTAAAAAAGAAAGATCAAAGTGATTACTAAAGAATGTTAAAAAAATACACAACTTTCGACCTTACGAACAAAAAACCCGCATAAAAAAAACTAAACGGCACTAGACATAGCTAATTACTAATTTACCACAGGACTTCGACGTGTGGTCCAAATCACATAACCAACATCGGTTTTTTTTAATAGTTAAATAATAAAACGAGGCTCAAATCATGTTCTGGATAACCATACAGAACAAAAACGTTTTAGAGTTCATAAACTAAAGCCCCAAAAATAGACATAACAGGGTTAAAAAATACACACACTGGAAGATGTCGAAGTCGGAGAACAGAGTTCACAAACAACAAGACTCACACAAGGAACAACATAGAAAACAAAAAATTCAAAACAAATTTTTCGCAATAAAAACCCAAACAAAGTACGTGGGACGAAGCACAAGAAGATCCAGATCTACCCAGAAATTAGAAACCCGCGCCGACACAACAAGCTCCAACCTTTAAAACATTTTTCGAAGAGGGAGAGAGAGAGAAAGAGAAAGGCCCGGGATCGAGGGTAGATCTCAGAAACGGAACAGAGATAAAGAGAGAGTGAGACTGCGAGTAAGAGAAAAAAAAAAAGACCTTCGGAAATGGCGTTCTGTATTTCGGCGCATTTGACAACGACGTTATGGTCGTTGATGCCCTCCTCTTCTTCGATGAGGTAGTCGTTGTAGCCATTCTTGGCGGCGGCGTTGGGAGAAGCGTCTCTGACGGCAGAGAGTTTGACCTTGGAGACGAGGAGCCACTGGAAGAGGGCGAAGGCGATTCCAATGACCGCGCAGACGGGAATGAGAATCTCAGTTCCGAGATCTGGGAGAATCGCTGCTCCCATGGCTGGAAGATTGAGAGAGTGCTTAGGGAGAAAATAAAAATGGGAAGGAATGAAGATACGAGTGAATGAGGGAAATGGGAAGGGGTGGAGAGGGTTTTATATGTGACAGAGAGAGAAATAGAGAGAGAGAGAAAGGATAGGGGTGGGAATGGTATGGTATGGTATGGTGACTGGCGACACAGAAGAAGCTGTGTGGCTCACAATATGAAAATTTTACCAATATCTGTAATTTGTCTATACCTAAATGCCAGATCTCAATTTTAGGTCACTCACTCCCAAACACACTCACTTTCCTTTCCATTTTCTTTTTTTTTATTTTTTTCCTTATAATTATTTAATAATTACCCTCATTTTAACATTCTTTCTTCTTTCTATTCACTTTTCAAAAATCCTCTCCAAATTATACGGAAATCATAATAACAGACTAATCTCGTTCCAATCCCACCGGAGGACTTTAATTTTCTTTTACACACAGAAAAAATATATTATTACTATTATTATATGACATGTACAAGGAATTTATTATTTAATAAATTATTATATGAACTGTAAAGCAGATAAATTTCTCTCTTACATATATTTCCAATTTTATCCTAAAGCCCTGCTACTATAAATAATTTTAAGAAAAAAATGAGTCAATTATACAGACTTTTCTTTTAAAGATAATAATCGTTTAACACATTTTACGTTTTTATTATGTATAGAACAAGCTTTACAACCAAAGACGTTCAGTTAATTACTTTTTTTTAATTTATTAGATTTTACAAATTTATGTGGATTTTAGTAATTTAAAAAAAAAAAACTTCAGTATTTAAGTTCTCATAGTGAGTATATAACTTAATTTTATTAGTTGACTCGGTATTGGTATTTAGATATTTGCTTTTACCGCGTTTAAAGCGTATCTTTTTCACCAACGATACCACGTCATTTGTTTAAGAGATAAGATTTAATTGATTAGCATTAATCAACATTTATAAACCACTCCAACTAGGATAGATCGAGAAGAAACGGTGAAATATTATAAATGTTGTCCTAATAATTTATTAAATGAACAATAAATGTGTGGTGTGTATGTCTTTTTTTTTTATGTACGTTTCATTTTAGGTTCGTTTTTACCTAATCTGACTCTCACATATAATTTTAACAAAATTCATTTTATTATTTATTTTATTTTATTATTTTTATTATTTTATTTTTAGCCCTAAAAATAGACTAGTAAATATATATAATTGAATAAACTATTCTTTTATTGTAACAAAAAATTACGCGTAAAAGGTGTTTACATAATTTATTTAATTTTAATTCAAAGCTTTTTTTAGAAATATTAAAATTTGCAGAAGATAAATCGCGCATCCTTCTCCTAAAATTATATNCCAAAAATAATGAAGTGATTATTTCTTACAGCTGGATTTCTTGGATCATCTTCGGGAATGTTTCTCTCAACCTTGCCAACGAGATCAGCACCAACATCAGCAGCCTTGGTATAAATACCTCCACCAACTCTTCCAAACAAAGCCATAGAAGACCCACCGAGACCATAACCAGTTATGGCCTCAAAAAGACCACCCCAGTCATCACCATAATAGATCTTAAACAAGTTGATGGCAATGTAAAGAACTAGAAGACCATTTGCGGCTAGGAGAAAACCCATAACAGCACCAGATCTAAAAGCCGTAATGAAGGCCTTCCCAACACCCTTTCTTGCCTCCAAGGTGGTTCTTGCATTGGCGTAAGTTGCAATTTTCATTCCAAGGAATCCAGAAACAAGTGATGTGACGCCACCAAGCAGGAAAGATATGGTGCTGAAAATAGCCGTTGCCAGTGCTGGCTTACACGTTTTAGTTTTATCGTATGTGCAAGCCTGGGGGCTTGTGCTGAATCCCTCCACTGAACCAAGGAAGAGGAATATCAAAATGGCAAAAGCCACCATGAAGATTCCTACATACTTGTATTCAGTAAAAAGGAAAGAGGTTGCTCCTGTTCAAGTTCAAACACAGGTAAATAAGTAAAGCATTCTTTAGCATCCACCGATAAGCACTAATTTGGAATAACGATCAGCAATCGAGAGCATATCCAAAAATTTAAAGAACAAATAAAATGCAAAAAGTCCTGCCATGCAATGGTTTCAGCAAAAACCAACTCTGCTCGTATATTAAGTATAACAGGTCAAAAAAGAGATCACAGGGTTTTGGGAGAAAAATTATCTACTACAATAACACGGCTTAAATTTAAGAAGCGATATAGAGCTTGTTAAAGTTTAAAACATTGCAACTATGTATGGAATGAGGAGAACCGTTGTAAACGCACTCTACTAGAAAGAAAGACCTGGGGGCTACAAATTAATTAAAGTAAAACTTTCATATGCGAGTATTCAAAAGATCCAAATACGGATAAATGAGATGACAAGGGTTCATAGAGCATCAAGTTTAAAGCCGCAGACAAAAAATTAAGTAACACAAATACTACTAAAAAAGAAAGATCAAAGTGATTACTAAAGAATGTTAAAAAAATACACAACTTTCGACCTTACGAACAAAAAACCCGCATAAAAAAAACTAAACGGCACTAGACATAGCTAATTACTAATTTACCACAGGACTTCGACGTGTGGTCCAAATCACATAACCAACATCGGTTTTTTTTAATAGTTAAATAATAAAACGAGGCTCAAATCATGTTCTGGATAACCATACAGAACAAAAACGTTTTAGAGTTCATAAACTAAAGCCCCAAAAATAGACATAACAGGGTTAAAAAATACACACACTGGAAGATGTCGAAGTCGGAGAACAGAGTTCACAAACAACAAGACTCACACAAGGAACAACATAGAAAACAAAAAATTCAAAACAAATTTTTCGCAATAAAAACCCAAACAAAGTACGTGGGACGAAGCACGAGAAGATCCAGATCTACCCAGAAATTAGAAACCCGCGCCGACACAACAAGCTCCAACCTTTAAAACATTTTTCGAAGAGGGAGAGAGAGAGAAAGAGAAAGGCCCGGGATCGAGGGTAGATCTCAGAAACGGAACAGAGATAAAGAGAGAGTGAGACTGCGAGTAAGAGAAAAAAAAAAAGACCTTCGGAAATGGCGTTCTGTATTTCGGCGCATTTGACAACGACGTTATGGTCGTTGATGCCCTCCTCTTCTTCGATGAGGTAGTCGTTGTAGCCATTCTTGGCGGCGGCGTTGGGAGAAGCGTCTCTGACGGCAGAGAGTTTGACCTTGGAGACGAGGAGCCACTGGAAGAGGGCGAAGGCGATTCCAATGACCGCGCAGACGGGAATGAGAATCTCAGTTCCGAGATCTGGGAGAATCGCTGCTCCCATGGCTGGAAGATTGAGAGAGTGCTTAGGGAGAAAATAAAAATGGGAAGGAATGAAGATACGAGTGAATGAGGGAAATGGGAAGGGGTGGAGAGGGTTTTATATGTGACAGAGAGAGAAATAGAGAGAGAGAGAAAGGATAGGGGTGGGAATGGTATGGTATGGTATGGTGACTGGCGACACAGAAGAAGCTGTGTGGCTCACAATATGAAAATTTTACCAATATCTGTAATTTGTCTATACCTAAATGCCAGATCTCAATTTTAGGTCACTCACTCCCAAACACACTCACTTTCCTTTCCATTTTCTTTTTTTTTATTTTTTTCCTTATAATTATTTAATAATTACCCTCATTTTAACATTCTTTCTTCTTTCTATTCACTTTTCAAAAATCCTCTCCAAATTATACGGAAATCATAATAACAGACTAATCTCGTTCCAATCCCACCGGAGGACTTTAATTTTCTTTTACACACAGAAAAAATATATTATTACTATTATTATATGACATGTACAAGGAATTTATTATTTAATAAATTATTATATGAACTGTAAAGCAGATAAATTTCTCTCTTACATATATTTCCAATTTTATCCTAAAGCCCTGCTACTATAAATAATTTTAAGAAAAAAATGAGTCAATTATACAGACTTTTCTTTTAAAGATAATAATCGTTTAACACATTTTACGTTTTTATTATGTATAGAACAAGCTTTACAACCAAAGACGTTCAGTTAATTACTTTTTTTTAATTTATTAGATTTTACAAATTTATGTGGATTTTAGTAATTTAAAAAAAAAAAACTTCAGTATTTAAGTTCTCATAGTGAGTATATAACTTAATTTTATTAGTTGACTCGGTATTGGTATTTAGATATTTGCTTTTACCGCGTTTAAAGCGTATCTTTTTCACCAACGATACCACGTCATTTGTTTAAGAGATAAGATTTAATTGATTAGCATTAATCAACATTTATAAACCACTCCAACTAGGATAGATCGAGAAGAAACGGTGAAATATTATAAATGTTGTCCTAATAATTTATTAAATGAACAATAAATGTGTGGTGTGTATGTCTTTTTTTTTTATGTACGTTTCATTTTAGGTTCGTTTTTACCTAATCTGACTCTCACATATAATTTTAACAAAATTCATTTTATTATTTATTTTATTTTATTATTTTTATTATTTTATTTTTAGCCCTAAAAATAGACTAGTAAATATATATAATTGAATAAACTATTCTTTTATTGTAACAAAAAATTACGCGTAAAAGGTGTTTACATAATTTATTTAATTTTAATTCAAAGCTTTTTTTAGAAATATTAAAATTTGCAGAAGATAAATCGCGCATCCTTCTCCTAAAATTATATTTATATATATATATATATATATATATATATTGATCATTAATTTTTGGGAGTATTTAAAATTTATACATTTAATCATTATCATTAATAAAACAAAAATAAATAATTAGATGGTTAACTCATAATAAGTAATTAAATTAGTGTTTATACATCTTTACATGTAATTTTCTTTCTATCATTTTTAAAAATGTATATATTTTTTTATTTTTCATAAGTATATCTATTTAGAAAAAAGTTAAAGACTAAAATATTAATTATTAAAATCTAATTAAATATTAAGAAATCATAATTATTAAAAGAAAAAATTATGACAATGAAGCACAATTAAAATCAGGTTATAAAAATATATATAATAGTTAACCTTATATTCAGTCTATGTGAAATAAATATATAATCTATGTGAAACTAACACATTTTTATTTCATCTTTTTTTATCGTCTATATCATATATTAAATATAAATTATCAAAATATAATTAAATATTAAAAAACGGAAATATTAAAAATATATATAATAATCAAATCACAATTAAAATCAGATTATAAAATAACATATAATAAAATTATAAAAAAAACATATAATAGTTAACTTTGTTTTATGTTAATAAAAAAATACTATATAAAAACTTGTCAAATGCAGAAAAATACAAAAATAATATTTTGGTGTTTCGTAAAATAATAAAGATTTACCTTTCTTCCATAGTAATGGAACAATAACAAGTGAAAAAGTAAAGAAAAAAAATATTAAAAAAAGTAAATAAATAAAGAGACAAAGGAGAGAGAAACGTATGTTAATAATATTGTCATATTCTGGCTGACTTCACGTCATTACTTATAAATTATATTCATTATTATTATTATTCAATGATAATAATCACCATTTGTCATTTTATATTAATTATAATGTTATTTTTATATTAAATACTTAATTTCATATTTATTAACGTGTGATAACTAATCAAAATAACTAGACAAGATGATATACTCTTGCTAAAAATAAATTAAACAATAAATACTCAATTCAAATTTTTAAATTGATCAAAAACTTAAAATCTAATCAAAATTATTATTATTATTATTATTATTATTATTATTATTATTATTATTATTATTATTATTATTATTATTATTATTATTATTATTATTATTATTTGGATAACCAACGAAATCGAAAGAACAGAAAAAAAAAAGTGTTGTCTTTTATAAGAAAATATAAATTTTTATTTTAAATAAATATCACAGACTTCTATAAGTTATTCAAATATCTATTGAGAGACATTTTGGTGGTTCCTTTTATTTATAAGTCAAATTCAAATTTTTTAGATGTTGTCTAATATAAATTGTACCGAAGACATATTTGAATTTTAACTTGTCATAATGTAAATATATTAAAAACTATGTTTATTGTACGGTTAGTTTGTCGTGTATCTTATCTATGTTGTTTGCTGTCTCCCATATTTTATCAGTTTAAAATTAATATTTGACAGATATAACATTTTTTTCTCTCATCATTAACTATGAATTCAATTCCAATTTCCAACCCATTAATTATTTATTCATTAAGAACAATAGGTTAATATTGTTTGACTAATTTATCTGTCTCCACTGACTGCTGCTTTAGTTTGAAAAATAATAATCACGTTTCAAGTTTTGAATTCAATTTTAATAATAATTTAACTCTAAATAAACCACAGTATAACAAATAAAAATAATGTAAATATTAAGAATATGAGATCATTATAAAAATGAATAATCTGTATATTTATTCTTGTTTTTAGTTTACGTAAAAATAAAATAAACTGTGATTACTTTGGCAAAAATAAAAGAGTATACAATTTTGATAAATGAAGTTGATGAATATTTGAAATCAATATTAACCATCAACATGGCTAAACACCTTGATTTATCATAGACTATTAATAATGCGCACACACTTTTATATATATCGAAATAAACATTGTGAAACATTATACATAGAAAAGAGGAAATATTTAAGGTAATTTTTGTGTGTGTTTAAACTGAGGACATTTAAAGTAATTAGAGATATAATATTAATTAGTTTGTCGGGGTCATGAGTTTAATCTCTTTATTATGACCACATAAAATGATGGGAAGTCCCTTAATTATTTTTTTGTTAATCTATTGGTTCATTATTAGAAAAACCAAAAAGGAATGGTGCATGGAAACTACGCATAACTAATACAAACACCGACACACGACATGTGTGACCATAGAGAACCGAGCTATTTTGAAACATTATTTAAGATGAAAATTTCCCAATTCATATATACATGAAGAAAGTACACAGAAACCCCTAATTAGTGGACTTTTCTCCTTCATTACTTAAACTTGCATGGTTTTCATAATTACTCTGATTATAAGTACATACTAATCATTAAGCCATTAAGAAAGTATGAAAGCACACATTATATAGTTAATAAATGTAATACAGTGAACAATTTAATATAAAGATTATATATGGTATAAAGATTGTTGTTGAGAAAAATAATTATATATAAATATAATGTTGGATTATATGTGCTGGTTAGGAAGAATCATTAATTAATGTAATAATTGTTTTGCATATTAGAAATTATAGTTTTAAAAATTAAATGTTAAAATTTTAGATTATACATATTTAAGAATATTAATTAAGGGGTTTGGTAACCCAGTTGGTACATTTTAGTAATGTGTACCGGGTTTTAGTAGACAAAAATACTTTTATACATCATGGATTTTAAGTTTTAATTTTAAGAATATTTTAATAATTTTCATTCTCAAAACTAAAAAAAAACTCAAACCCTTACTCACCTCTCTCATTTCTGTTAACCATTTCTCTTTCATCTCTCTCACTCCAACCTTTTCTATGTCATCCCTATTGTAGTTCCAATTAAAAAAAATCAAAAACACTTGTCGTTAAACAATCTTTAAAAAAAAAGATTTTATAATGAATTTTTATTTTATAAGGTTTGTCTTATCCAATTTTCACAAGGATAAAGGAATTGGTAATTGACCTGGAGCAAATCAGAAATACTCGCTGTTAAACAATTTCTTACAAAAAATGATTTTATAATGAGTTTTTATTTTATAATTTTTGTCTTATCTAATTTATCCAATTTTCACAAGCATAAAGGAATTGGTAATTGATCTGAAAAAAATCAGAAATACTCGCTGTTAAACAATTTCTTACAAAAAATGATTTTATAATGAGTTTTTATTTTATAATTTTTGTCTTATCTAATTTTATCTAATTTTCACAAGCATAATGATATCAAAGGAATTGGTAATTGGCCAGGAAAAAAATCAGAAACACTCAGTTGTTAAACAATTTCTTACAAAAAATGATTTTATAATAAGTTTTCATTTTATAATTTTTGTCGTATATAATTTTATCTAATTTTCACAAGCATAATGACATCCGAAGGAATTGGTAATTGGCCAAGAGGGTTTTTTTAGAGATGATGATTCAACGTGTGCAGATGATGAAATTAGAGAAGTTAGTGAAAATGGTGAAATTATAGAGGTTAGTGAAGATGGTAAAATTAAAGAGATCTTGAATGAATCTTTGCCTGAAAGGTGAATATGTCAACTCTTTACAAAGACAAATTGTTTAACAACAAGTGTTTCTGATTTTTTTCGATTGAGGCTACAATAGAAATTAGAGAGAAAAGGTTGGAGTGAGAGAGGTGACTAAGGGTTTGTGGTTTTTTTTTTAGTTTTGATAATGAAATTTATTAAAATACCATTAACCTTAAAACTTAGAATTCATTATATATAAGGGTATTTTTGTCTATTAAAACCCG